CATTCTCAAATAACAAATTATGGTCTTTGGTGGAAAAACATTCATTTTAGAGATGTATTATTGTTAGTTGATTTGCACTATTGCTTGCTATTTAAAATGTTAGTAAATGCTTTTATAAACAATTGACTAATGCTGTAGTTTGTATGTTTGCCTCCTAAGTCTCCGGTTGAAATTTGATCCCCAACGTTGGAGGTGGGACCTAATGGAAGGTGTCTGGATCACTGGGAGGAATCCCTCAAGAATGGCATGGCTCTGTCCTTGCAATTCTGAGTGAGTTCTCCCTCTGTTAGCTCCTGCAAGAGCTGCTTGTTACAATGATCCTGGCACCTCCCTTCTTCTCTCTCTTGCTTCCCCACTCCCCATGGGATATCTGCACAGCCAGCTCCTCTTCACCTGCAGCCATGAGTGAAAGCAGCCTGAGGCTTTCACCAGATGCCCTATCTTGAACCTTCTAGGCAGCAGAATCGTAACCCAAATAAACCTCTTTCTTTATAAATCACTCAGTCTCAGATATTCCTTTATAGCAACACAGACAAGTAAGTTTAACTACTCTACTTTTAAAGTTAAAATATATATATATTTCTGTAGGTATTAGAACATGGTTTTTCTAGTTTGGAAAAAAACTGCATATGAAATATATAACCAAAGTGCAATTTCAATTTCAATAAAATATAAGGCAATTAGAACAACGAAAGGAAAATGTTTGCATGACAATAAGTTCACAGTCAAATAATCTCAGAACTAATTGCTATAGAGACTGGTTTTTGACTGTTACAGATTGAAGCATAAACTGATTGAAGAGAGATTTAAACAAATTTAACAACAAACTGTCATTATACAATAGCAAATTTCTGTTCTTTTAATTAATAGACCATCATTGAAGATTTTGAAAAAGAAATAAGAAATACTGTATGAATATAAATATGGCTTGAAGAAATTGTGAAAAAAAAACCCTCACATTATGGATGATAGTAATTTATATTATGAAATTCAAATATTTTCTATTTTCTGTGATAATCATGTATCACACATGACCCAAACACAATGCTCAAACACAATATGTAAAATTAAATGCAGTCATCTTTGATAACTTGCTTACTTTCGTCCTGAAAACCACAGCTTCCCACATATTTTTCTATTTTGTCATTACAAAGGTAGATTTGTCAATGCAGAAGGATGAAATGCATTTTATTCAGCAATGTTTTAGCTTGATTTATAACTTTTAAGTATACAGACATAGAGTATGTGGGCTACCATTCATCCTCTTGCCACGGATGCTAGGGGCCAACATGAGCCCAGCATCCCAACCACAAGTACATTTCAGAACTAGGCTGGTGAGCACTGAGAATGAGGGATGAGGAAGGCTGATTTAATGACAACAGTTCCCTGTTAGGGCTAGGCAACTGGCACGTGCCACACCAAAGGCAAGAAAGGGCAGGCCCAGGAGAGGCCTAGGAATGGTTGTTCAAGAAAGAAAGGAGGCTGCTGTCCCTGAAGCTCGAATATAGTTCAAGGAGTTGGTTTCAAGGTCAGCAAAGGATAGCTGCAGCCCAAGGGAGATCTGCAGGACCCAGAGAGGGTAAACACTATCCCCCTCCTAGGGCCAGAGGAGTGGGAGACAGATGTCAAGGCAAAGAATCAGTGGCAGAGAACGCCTTGAGGCCCAAAGTCAGAGATCAAGCTTGAGTCTGACAGGCCTCCCTACAGAGGCCTGGGGAGCAGGTGGCACGGGGGCTGGAAGTGAGGGCCCCAGCAGGAGCAGGCAGGGTCACAGAGGATGCATGGCTGATGGAAGGGCCCAGGTGGGTGTGTGCACAGCCGAGGACGTGGGCCAGTCCTGGCCAAGGTCAAGAACTGGGTTGGACTGAGTTCAGAGACCTGGGCTGTGACTGACCTGAGGAAAAGGGTACAGTCCAGCAGAGAAAGGGAATTTTGTTCTTTGTGTGCCAGGAGCAGCTTCCCTGGACCACGTCTACACTTCATAGCCATAAGGTGTGGGCTGGGTGGGTAGGAGCAGGGATAGGGTATTTCCGGCCCTGCAAGACTGTGAGGGGGTCTGGGGCAGACTAATTGGTAGCTACTGAGAATAGCTGCAGAGGAGTTTTCCCTGAATCCTTGGAGAAAGTGGGTGTCCAGCATTTAACTAATCAAGCTCCTTTCTTTTTTTTTCCTAGAGGAAGGAAGCTCTCTTCTTCAACCAAACTGACCAACCTGGACTCCATTCTCCTCCTTTCTAGACTGAGGAAGGATCATAGGTCAAATTCTTGAAGGTTTGAAATGAGTATAAAGACTGAGAGTCCAAAAGGACTGCTAGCAAAAGGCAGTCTATTGTCTCATCCCTTAGGTTCTTCACCTTTGGGTCCTCACCCAACGTTTCTCCTGCCCTGAGTCGATGCAGAGGGAGGAGGGGATCCCCACACACTGTCACTCTAGACAGAGGCTTCTTTCCATCGTCTCTGACCTCTGAGAAGCAATCAACTCTCAGGCTCTTTTTCCCCAGGTCAGACACAAAAGACTAAGAAGTTAGACATTTCCCAAAGGAAACTGACTACTTTACTAGGGGAAAAGTCACATCAAAAGCATGATAGTACAAGACTGCAGGGATGGATGTGGCCAAAGGGAATTATTTTTTATTTAGGCAGAATCAAATTCTGCCTCAGGAGATTCAGCTGGCTCTAGTGTGGATGGATGCCAGGTTATTTCTCAAAGACCCAACCTTGCATGGCCCCTGGGGCTGAGCAACTCATTCCACCACAGCAAATGAATTCATGATGTGGGGCCAGGCTGCCTCCTAGCCTTGGGCTGAGATGCTGGTCAGTGCTGCATGGCATGAGACAGCCCAATTCCCAAGAAAGGGGAGGGAATTAATTATTAAGGACCTACCAGTTTGCATTTGGGTTTTCATTTAATCACGTCAACAAGCAAGACAGTGAAGATTTGACTAGTATGAGATCTTAGTTTGACCCAGTCAGGTTTCAAATAGCTATGGAGGAGACTGAGAAGTAAACAAATTAACCATGCTCACAGTTAGAATGCTGATATATTCAGATACATCTAGAGGAACTAGGGCACCAATAGAAGTCCAGACCCAAGAAGGGGCCGGTGATTATGCGCAGTGCTGGTGAGGGACCATTTTTTCTTTTTTTCTTTTTTTTTTTTTTAGTAGAGATGGGGTTTCACCATGTTGGCCAGGATAGTCTTGATCTCCTGACCTCATGATCCATCCGCCTCCTCCTCCCAAAGTGCTGGGATTATTGGTGTGAGCCACCGTGCCCGGCCTGGTACAGCATTCTTGAAGGCAATTTGCTGTCATTAAACATTTGCACACACATACTCTATGACAGCAGTTTCATTGCCAGGAATTTATTCTACAGATTTACAAGTATACAAACGTTTGTGAACAACAACATTCATTGAAGCATTGTTTATAACGTAAAATAATGGAAACAAATGCTCATCGGTAGGCGACCAATTGAGTAAAATAAATATTCTGTATCTACTGAAAAAATGAGATAGGACCAGGCGTGGTGGCTTATGCCTGTAATCCCAGCACTTTGGGAGGCAGAGGCAGGCGGATCACCTGAGGTCAGGAGTTCAAGACCAGCCTGACCAACATGGAGAAACCCCGTCTCTACTAAAAATACAAAATTAGCCGGGCGTGGTGGCACATGCCTGTAATCCCAGCTACTCAGGAGGCTGAGGCAGGAGAATTGCTTGAACCTGGGAGGCAGAGGTTGCAGTGAGCCGCGATCACACCATTGCACTCCAGCCTGGGCAACAAGAGCAAAACTCTGTCTCAAAAAAAAAGAAAAAGAAAAAATGAGATTGATCTCTATGTGCTAATAGGGAACAATGTATAAGATAAAATGAGAAAAGTAAATTGCAGAAGAACCTTGCAATACTGTCCCATTTGTAGGTTTTTAAAGAAAACTGATGACATATGGGCTTGCAGTGGAATAGAAAACATCTGGAAAGAACACACATGAGAAGCTGTGAATAGCGGATATCACTAGGGGACTTTTACTTTCTTTTTATTTATTTGTTTTTTGAGACAGGGTCTCCTCCATCTCTAAGGCTGGAGTGCAGTGGCGCCATCATGGCTCACTGCAGCCTCGACCTCCTAGGCTCAAGCAAGCCTTCCACTTCAGTCTCCCAAGTAGCTAGGACCATGCCCCACTAATTTTTGTATTTTTTGTAGAGTCATGGTTTTGCCATGTTGCCCAGGCTAGTACTTCCTATCTTACATTTTTCTCTACTGCTTTGAATTTACTTTTATGAACCTATATTACTTTTTAAACGGAAAAGAAAAAAGTTAAAGAAAAAATAAGGGACCAGTAAGAGGTAATTCACCAAAAAAAAAAGGAATTTACCAAATGTATCCTTAGAAGCCAAACTCAGCCATAGGACCTAAAGGCAGGTAAGACATGGTGGCTGACTGATGGATCCTTCTTGACCGGCTGACATGGCCAAATGAACTGAGTGTTTGCTCTTCACTCATTAAGCTTGATTTCCTTGAGACCCAGGCAGTCTTGCTGTGGGGCCCAATAATGTGGATGAGGAGAGTGGTCCCCTTTCCCATTAGAAGCAGACTGTGGAGTTGTCAAAGCACAGAAGGGGAAGCACTGGTAGCTGGAGCTCCTGGCAGACTGGCACTCATGAAAGAGTCTGGAGGCAGCAGGGATTGGATCTCCATTAGGCTGGATCTCCAGCTTAGTTACCACCAAGTCTTGGTACGGTGGAGGGGACGGCAGAACTATAGGCATCCAGCAACAGCAGAAGGAGGCAGTCATCAGGACTGGGCTAGGAATGCATAATAGGGAGCGGGTAAGACAAGCTTGGAGAATCTCAGAAACACTTGAGGAAAAGCTATCAGAGACTGGAATGTCTGAGTGAGTACTTAAGCAATTTAAATTAATGATATTCAGGTTTCACTCACTCATCTGATACACTGAGCTCTTATTATATGCAAGGCACAGTACCAACCACAGGAGATACAGCAGTGAGCAAGGTAAACACAGAATTTATTGAATTGGATGGAAATAAAATTGCCAATATTCAACTTTTGGGGACTTATAAAAATGATAATTTCTTATGGATCAACATGAATACATTCTGGCAAGAGAGAAAGAAAACAACAACACATAACCCAATTAATTGCTTGATTACAATTATGAAAAGAGCTACAAAAGAGCAATCCGATCTGATTCAGCCCCATGCGTGCTGGGGTGTGTGTGTGTGTGTGTGTATGTGTGTGTTGCCAGCCAAGAAAGCCTTCCCTATAAGGAGTTATTTTAGAGGAAGCGAGGGTGAAGAAGAACTACCCTAGTGAAAGAGAGGAACAGAGATCATTCCTGGCCAAGTCTGGTGCAAAGGCCGTGAAGGGTAGGAGACTGGCATGTTCCTGGGCCTGAGAAGGTGACTGCCTGCAGGGAAGCAGGGGTGGTGGGATAAGGTCTAGAGAGAAGGGAGAGCCAAATCAGACAGGGCCTTGTAGGCCATGATGACTTTGGGTTTTATCTCAAGAGGTTTAAAAAAAACACAATGGTATATTATTTGTATCCAAAAGCTGGCAACTTCCAGGGAATATTCGGGTTACAAAGAATGTTCTATGCCCTCCAGATGAGCCTGGAGGTTCACAGCTACAGGGGTAGTATGTGGTAGTATGCATCAGCATCAGAATCTAGGTCTTTCCAAAGAGGTTTCTCCACCCTGGATGCCACTGGAAGGGTGGCAGGGGGATGAAACAGGCAGGGAGGCCGAAGAAAAGTCTCTAGGAGGAGGCCAAGGAGGCCCCATGCACCCTGGGCACTCCCCTCCCAGGGCAGCAGCTCAGTGCCCAGCAGTCCTGGCAGAAGTGGTGCACAAAAAAGCAGCAGATGAACGGGTCCAGGCAGCTGTTGAGACTCAGTAGCACCAGGCTGAGGGTGGGCAGGACGTCAAGGGTGGCAGTGGTGTGAAACCGGTCTCCGTCACTGCCCCGCCCAGCCACCCAGGGCGCCAGCAGCAGGTGGTAGGGCGCCAGACAGAGGGCGAAGACCAGCGGGAGCCCCAGGACCATGGTCTTGGCCATGCTCCAGCGGGGACCGGCAGGAGCAGGGCCCAGGCCCGAGGGCGCCTAGAGCGTTGGCACCAGGCTCACGTAGGCCGCAAGCACCCGCAAGAAGACGGCTCTGAAGAAGGCCACCGCCAGGTAGGTGGACACGTGGTAGGCCATCCCAGCCGTGCGGCAGGCAGCCTCCGGGAGGGGCACGTGGGCCAGGCCCAGGTAGTAGGTGAGCCACGGCAGCAGAGTGAGCGTGAAGAGCACGTTGGCCAGGGCCAGGCTGAGCAGGTAGAGACGCAGGGCCTGGCCCAGGCGCCGCTGCTGACAAACACTGCCGGGGCAGCCACGTGGGTTGCAGCCCCAGGCCCGGCGCCAAGGCATAGGCCGCCAGCACCATGAAGAAGCGAGCAGGATCATCCCAGGAGCTGCAGTCGCCAACACCCAGGTCCCCGGCACTGCTGTTCATCTCTGACCTTGAAATAGCAGAAGAAAGACTACTGCGGAGGCTAGCCACAAGGGCAGCCCCCATTCTGTCTTCTCCCACCCCAGTCCCCATTTCTTCTTCATCACTTGCTGGGAGGGGACACTAGAGGCAGAGTCCATGTGAGAGGGAATGAGGACCGAACCTGGCCAGCAGCTAGCTGCTGAGAGGAGGGGATGGACTCCAGAGTTTTTGGTGACAAGCTGTGGGAAGTGAGAAAGAGGCAGGAGTCCTAGATAGCTTGGAAATTTCCAGCCTTGGTGACTGAGAGGGTACAGGTGCCCCTCACAGATGGATTATGGTTTGTACACGTTGGGGCACAGCCCTGTGCAATAAGCCCACATAGGGCTGAGCCTACAGGGAGTTCTGGAGAAACAGGCTGGAATATAAAAGAGAGTCCTTTCCAGAAACAGCCCCAACCCCCCGTCCCTGTGCCACCCAGATGAGAAGCATGGATGGAGGAATGGGCTTGGGATGCAGTGACCCACAGGACGGGCCTGTGCACAGGGACCTCGGACTTGCGTTGGTCCTCTGCTAGAGAGCTGCGCCAGCGCTTGCCTGCAGCACCCTTGGGTGGGCTGAAAAAGTTCTGCCACTCTCAAGCCTTCCCAGCCTGTTTCCTCCCTGTCACTTTTTGACTACAAAGAAGTCCTGGGTCAGACTCAAAACTTTGGACAGAAAAGCAAAAACTGCACACACCCAGCAATCAAGCAGATTCTAGATACACACATCTATTTGCCATGTGACCTTGGGCAAATTACTCAGCTTCACTGAGCCTGTCTTTGCTGCAGTAAAATGGAGATTAAAATACCTACCTCACTGGATTGTTGGGAGGATTATGAGAAAACATAAGTAAAACTGAGCCCTGTGGCTGTCACTGGGGAGATACTTCATTACTGTTAGCTCCCTTCCCTTCTAGGCGGCACACAGATAAATGTGTACACGAACACAGGCACACACAGTGTCAGAGAAACAAACACCCCAGGCACACAAAACAACACAGAAACATCTGGGCATATTCCTACCCTCTCCCCAAGGGAGGTTAAGTGCACAAATCAATGTCCTGATACTATTTGTGACACACTTACACACCCTTAGGAGGTCCTAAAACTCAGTTCTTCCAAAATTTGGATTTCTGCCTTTGAGCATTTCAGGCTCCAATCCCTTCTGAGACCCTGGGTAAGTGTATTTCCTTTCGCCATTTCCTCTGTTCTGTTCTTCATGGCTGTAGCCCCACCCTGACCCATCCCCTGCCATCCTACCAGATTGTTCCTTTTTTTATTTTTATTTTTTTTTTAAGACAGTCTGTTGCCTAGGCTGGAGTACAGTGGCACGATCTCAGCTCACCACAACCTCCGCCTCCAGGGTTCAAGCAATTCTCCTGCCTCAGCCTCCCGAGTAGCTGGGACTACAGGCATGCACCAACACGACTGGCTAATTTTTGTATTTTTAGTGGAAACAGGGTTTCACTATGTTGGCCAGGCTGGTCTGGAACTCCTGACCTTGTGATCCACCTGCCTCGGCCTCCCAGTGTGCCATGATTATAGGATTACAGAGCCACTGTGCCTGGCCCAGACTGTTCCTTTCTTACCTCTTGCTATAATGGCTGCTGGAGCTCTCTCTGGGGTCCTGACTTTAAGGATCTGAGACAGGGCAGAATTCCCTCCCACCCACACATCCCAGACCCTCTCATCAGCCAGCTAATCCCAAAAAACGACATGAAGAATAGGCCCAACAGCTGGAAGGGCTGGAGCCCACCTGTGGCAGCTATGAGCTAGGTTTGTGGGGATGCAGCCAGGGCCCCAAGGGAAGGGAGTGTCATCAGAGGACAGGAGGGCCTTCAGCACAGGGAGGGAGATAAAAACATATTAGGAAGGGCAGGAAACTGAACGTCATCATGCTGAGCTGACCTAGATTTAGGCTGTAGTTTGGGGGGGCACATTTCCTGAGGTCTGGCTTCTCCTTGCACTACTAAGAAGGCACTGCCTGAGCTCAAGATCGTCCTGCTGCTGTCAATCCCAACTGCTTGTACACACCAGCTGGCCAGCCTACTCCTCTAGCACCCTGACTTTCCTGCAGCTGCTGGGCAGTCCTACAGCTAAGCTTGGGGGGCCCCGTGGCTGCTTATCAGCCTACAGGCTCAGACTTGGTAAACAGGCACCCTCAATCTAATGCTAGCTGCAAGAGGTTTTACTCAAAGTCCATCCTGGAAGGGTAGAGAAAGTATAAGGCCAGGATCCTAGGGGCTTCAAAACTTCCAGGCAAGACCAGGCACGGTGGCTAATGCCTGTAATCCCAGCACTTTGGAAGGCAGATGCAGGGGGATCACCTGAGCTCAGGAATTCGAGACCAGCCTGGCCAACATGGCAAAACCCCATCTCAAAAAAAAAAAAAAAAAAAAATCCAAGCAGAGGGAAAATGCTGAAAAGCAGGGCAGATTTCATCACACCAGACAGGTCATCCCCTCTACCCTCAGGTTGAACAGAGCAGGGGTGCCATGCCTGTCCATTTTCAGCTTTGGCAGCTGCTGCAGTGAAAAGTTTGGGTTCTGGAATCAATTAGGCCTTAGGTCTAGTTCCAGGTCTGATACACAGGCACTTAAGCTTTCCAAATCCATTTTCTCACCTGTAAAATAAATCGATGTTTAACAATATCAATAAGCAATATTGCAAATAAGCTAGTAAGTGACAGAAACCATTGTCTATGCCCTCTTCTTCCTTGCTGACCAGTGTGGGTAAATTTTTTTTTTTGAGATGTAATTATTTTCCTTTTGTTGCCCAGGCTGGAGTGTAATGGCATGATCTCGTCTCACCACAACCTCCGCCTCCCGGGTTCAAGTGATTCTCCCGCCTCAGCCTCCCAAGTAGATGGAATTACAGGCATGTGCCACCACACCCAGCGAATTTTGTATTTTTAGTAGAGATGGGTTTCTCCGTGTTGATCAGGCTGGTCTCCTGACCTCAGGTGATCTGCCCACCTCGGCCTACCAAAGTGCTGGTATTACAGGTGTGAGCCACCGCGCCTGGCCGGTAAATTTTAGTCTAAGTCCATCATGGGAATTCCATTCTCCTGCCAGTGATTAGTCTAGGAATGGAAATGGGACATAATTCTGGCCAGTGAGATCTGTGGGAAAATCTAGGGTCTTCTAAGGCACCCTTCCTCTCTTTTCACCTTTCAGTATTATAGCAAATGCTGTCTGGAGCTGCTGCAGCTATTTCACACAGCCAATACACTGAAAGCAGCAGAGCAGAAAGTTTAAAGAATGTTGATTCTTGATGCCATCATTAGGCAGTCAAATTAAACAACATTGAAACTGAAGCGGGTATCTCTGGACCTCTTACATGAGAGAAAAGTTTTCCTTATTGCTTTGACACTATCATTTATTTATGTGTAATCTATCCTTACTATAGGCAGACTGCACCACTGTGCTTTCAGACACAAGAAAAAAAAAATCCAACTGCGAGTGTCACCTTGCCTGAGGTTCACACTAGTCAGAATGGGAATTAGCATTTTGTAGTGAACATGAAATGGAGTAACAGAGACTTCTTTCACTCCTGTGGCCTCCCAAAAGCCATTGTTCACACCCTCAAAGCAATTTGTAGGCTGATAGCTAGAATATTTGCATAAATAAGTGAGCTGTTTCTCACTATGTTCCCTTATGGGAGGTACATCACTTCCCAAAAGCCCACAGCCCTGCCAAGCTAAGACAACGAGGGCAGCATAATGGCGGGTGCCCTAACATACTGTCCACTTTTTCCCCAAGAAATGTCACACATATGCACCCTTCCTACCCCCAAGGACCTCTGGGATTCCTCCCAGGCTTTGGGCCCTGCTGTACCATTCGCATTTCATGGAGTTGGCTGTCCCCCGCTTCCACGTAGGTGTCAAGGAGCACTGGACTGGGTGCCACAGGTCGCCACCAGAGTTTGATTTCAGGTTCTATAGAATGACTCAATGCCTGCCTGTTAGTTCTGCAAATCTAATGTGTCAGAGAAAAAAAGGAGTGGGAGGGAATCTCTAATGTGGCTCAAAGGGCACAGGCAGAAGCAAATACTTATGCTCTGCCATACAGAACTTGTACATCTTAAATATGCATTAAAACCCTTAAAAATATGCAAGTAGGTTCAAAAAACCTACATTTTTTTAACCAGCACCTTCACGTCTAGGGGAAGAAAATAAGTATGCAAAGGCAATTTACTGTGAGGCTTATTATAGCAAAAAATTGAGAATAACCCAAATGTTCCTCATGGCGGGGGATTGAGTAAATACAGTACTCCTTACAATGGAGTACTATGCAGCCATTAACAATGAGGCAAAAGAGACATGAAATGGTCTTATAGTATATTAGGTTTTAAAAGGAGGGAATAAAGTAGGATATATGGTTTCATTTTCATTAAAAAAATATATATATCTGTTTAAAGGCACAGAAAAAAGTTCAGAGGTATAGTTACACCAAGGCATTAAAAGTGGTTATTTGGGGCATCAGAATTTTGGCTGATTTAAATTTCTTTTTTGCTTATTTTGTATTTTCATATGACATGAGGAATGTTAGTATATATAACATGTACTCCTCACAAAATAGTAAAGCTAAAAAGAGAAAGCAGGGCCAGGTAGACAAGATGTCTCTTTCAGCACTGGCTGACCCTGGATATTACACTGGCAACAAGATGATAGACTCTGTGTTCTACCATGTTCCTGCTGTGACAGCTGCATGGCATAAAGAGGCAGAGATGCTCTACTTCCAGGATTCCTCAAATGTACTTAGAGTCTTCTTCCTAGTGGGTCTGACCACCTTCTTAGTTTGGGCTAAGAGCTGGCCGACATCCAGCAGCAGCAGGAACAGCAGGCAGATGATGGCTGGGATGCAGGTGCTTAGTGACTCTTTTAGAGCTGCCAAGGTGAAGATGGCCCCTGGAATGGAAAGTGAGGTCCCTGAGGCTTCCTGGAAGAACCCAGGAGATCCAGGAGCTCAGGGCTCTCCCGTTTAGGCTGACCCACTTCAGCCCAAGCCCTCCTATTAAACACCCCTACCACTCCCAACGCACATTCCCAAAACTAGCTGCACTCACCTCTGGCCTCCCGGAGAATGCAGGACCAGGAAATTTAAGCCTCTTGAACAACAGTAGCAGTGTCAACAGTTGCCCCTCTCAGAGGACAAGAAAGAAACAGAAACCACCCAGCCAAATTCTCCCTGATCCTTTTTTTTTTTTTTTTTTTTTTTGAGACAGAGTCTTGCTCTGTCGTCCAGGCTGGAAGGCAATGGTGCTATCTCGACTCACTGAAACCTCTACCTCCTGAGTTCAAGTGATTCTCCTAGCTCAGCTTCCTGAGTAGCTGGAATTACAACACCACACCCGGCTAATTTTTGTATTTTTAGTAGAGACAGGGTTTCATCATGTTGGTCAGGCTGGTCTTGAACTCCTGACCTCAGGGGATCCACCCACCTTGGCCTCCCAAAGTGCTGGGATTACCAACATGAGCCACCGAGCCCAGCTCCTTCTCCTTTCTTAATCCTACATCTACCAGGATTAAGATGGAGGGAAGGATTAGCCCAGGGGCTGTTGGTTGGAGGTATGGGAAAGGTCTGAAAATGAGAGAAGCGCAGAGATGGAAGCAAGCCTGGTAGCGGTGGCAGCAATGGTAACAGATGCCAGGGCATACAGAAAAGCCTGAAGATATCTGACCTTTGAAGCAGCAGCTGTCTTTGTACATCAGCAGTTCCTGTGGGCAGAGCTTCTAGGAGGGGGACTCTCTAGGGAAATTCTCTGCCTTCCTGTTCAAGGTTTCCCAGCTTCCCTGCTCTCTACACCAATCTGCCAGACACACATCAAATGGCAGCTGCTGCCCCATCCCCTCATCCCAGGAGTGGGCATGTGGAGGAAGGGGCAGAGGTGCTAAGCTTGCAATACATCTTCGAAAGGGAATACTATGCAGCCATTAGAATTGAGGAGGTAGAAGGTACACTTAACATGTGATAGTGTTTTAGCACATTAAGTTTAAAAAATACCTGTGCTAATCTGAAGACCATGGAAACTGTGGTAGAGCAGAAGTGCTCTTGATTCCAGAGGGAAAAAAGGGTGACAACAGTACGAGGGAACACCCAGGTCTTTCCATCATCCTCCCCCAGAAGACCCCATTTTCTCAGGCCAGTTGGCCCCCTTACCCATCATGAGCAGAATCAAGAACAAGTTACTGATCTCTTGCAGCATCGGTGGGCCTGTGACCAGCAGCAGCCCAGCCAGCAGTTCCAGGAAGCCCACAGCTGTTTGGTAGCTCAGGGGATCTGGCTGGTAGCCAAACACCTTCAGCGGGAACACCTCAGCAAACTGCACGAACAGGGCTTTCTAGGGGTGGCAAGGAAGGCCTGTCAGCCATGCTCATCAGAGATGTGCTGCCCAGATGCTCCACAGCATATCTATGCCTGTACCCTTAACTCCCCCGACAAAAGAACTACTACTACTCTAGGTCAGGCCCAGGCCTGAGGTCAGCCTGGAGAGGAGAGGGCTGCCCTGCAGCGCTGAGCTTTGGAATCAAGAAACAGGCTCCATGCTCCAAGTGGTACAGAGACTGATTTTCTCACTAGACCTGTCAAGAGGTTACAACCCAGCCCCAAATCCCAGGAGGAGGAAGCTGGGCTTGGCTGGTTTTCCTTTGTGCCTGGCCTGGTTTCTCTTAAGGTTGATGTGCAGGGAATACTTGGAGGTGGGACAGAGGTGGAAGGGCTCATTAAACAGATTCCACCTTGAATCAGTCTCCTTTGCTGGGTCCTGGATCCCACCGAGGCAGACACAAGGGCAAGGTTAGGTGGGCTCAAAGTGGCTCTTCTTGTCAAGGCATGTCCTCCCCTGAGCCAAATGACAACTTCATCCTGACTTTCGGAGTTACTTTTTTCTGTTCCCACTCCTCAGCTCTACCTCCCTCCCTCTGCTCTACCTCCCTTCCTCAGCTCTGCAGAGAAGCAGCTCCAAGCCGTCTGTCTCTGAGGATGTATCCAGGCCTTGGAGAGGGAGGTCAGCAGGGGTCTCCAAGTCTGGCTCTTTTGAGGGACTGGGGAGATTGGTGAGCAGGACATGAAAGCTTTCCCGTGAATCTGGAACTAGACAGAAGGCTGAAAGACGACCTCGGGGCTTCCCTCTCAGTCTTCATGAAAACGACTCCTGGGTTCCGAGTTAGGAGTGTCTAGTTTGCGTCCCGCTTCCTGACTAGATGTACAGCCTTTAGTAGATATACTTGCCCTTCAGGGCGGGCTTCCTATCCTGCAAAGCCAGGATTACTACACCCCAGCCACACGAACTTCCTAAGAACTGAGGCAAACGGTGAAAAGGGAGAAGAGAGCAGGGAGGGAGCTCAGTCGTTTTTCCACTGCATCTTCCTCCCCCAGGGTCCCGGGGAACCTCCTAAGACTCGACTTTTCCCTGGGGCCATCAATGCTTAGCAGGAAGGGGAGGTTCTGTCCCCTTCCGTCTAGGGAAGGTCCAGAGAACTCGAGGAACTCCCCAGGCAGGACCCGCGCCTCAGTCGAAAGCCAGGCGCTTTCCCCCAGCTCCTCCAGCTTAGCCTCGGAAGCCTGAAGACGGCCCGCCGGGCCGGGGTCGGGGAGCGGCGGGGCGGACCACACGCCGCCGCGGGCCCGATCCCCGGCCGCCCGCCCGCGCCGCTCACCATCCGCTCCGAAACTGAAGCCGAGATCTGCTCCGAGAGCTTGGCCGCCCCCACGAGCGCGAAGAAGCCTCCCAGCAGCACGCGCAGCACCGAGAGCAGGAGCGCCATGGCTGCGCTCGCCCCGCGGGACACCGAGCTAGCCCGTCCGAGGGTTGGCCCCGCCGAAAACCCGCCCCTGCCGCCGGCTCATTTCCTCCCTCCCGGGGGCAGCCGGAAGACTCGCGCCAGAGCTCCCGTACCCCGCCCTCCAGGGGGTCGCGAGGCTCCAGCACTAGGGCAGGGCGCCCCCATCTCACAGGTGGGGATACTCGAGGACCACTGGCTCGTAATTGACTAAACCGGCGCCTTTGGATTCAGAGAGTGATTCTCAGCCAATACGGAGTGCGGGCGGACACGGGTGGGTGTCTGGATGCGGCTCAGCTACCATCAAAAGACTCCAGGGCTTCGTACCTGCCTGTGCCACGCTAGCTGTGGGATCTGCGCTGTCATCCAACCCCAACCGTCCTCAGTATCTGCCTCTGCATATGCGGATAACTCAGTTCTCCACAGTTTGTATAACAGGCCTAGGACAGTGCCTACACACGTTAAGAGCTCAGAAAGTTATTTGTAAATTAATTTATAAAGTTATAAGCAATAAATCAATAACCAGTAGTTAAATAAGTTTCTTTTCTGTCTTTGCCTGAGATATCTTTTCCCTCTAATTTCTCTCAGCTGAGATTGAAATGTGAAAGGTGTCTGAAAATTCAGATACTTGCAGCGATGGATAGAGAGGCTTTCACTGAACAAAGCCCTACAAAGCCACTCCTGGCCCATCTGCTCTTACCTGGAAATCTCTAGAGCTGGGATGGGCAAACCATGGGCCAAATTTGACTAGCTATCTGATTTTTTCCCATGCATCTCCCCTTCCCCCAAGCTAATAAGTTTACACTGTTTATGATAAAAACATTTTTTAAAGAAGCTTGTGTGACATCAAAATTATATGAAATTCATATTTCAGTGTTCACAAATAAGTTTTATTTAAACACAGCCACACTCATCTGCATATCGTCTATGGCTGCTTTTGCACTGCATCTGCAGAATTGAGTAGTTGTGACAGTATGGACTGCAAAGCTGAAAATATTTACTATCTCGCTCTTTATATTTAAAAAGTTTGCTAAGCCCTGGTATAGTGGGCCAGAGAGGCCCCAAACAGGGGTCTCAACCCTCCCTGCTGCTTCCATTTCTTGTTACCCAAGCTGCTTAGATCTATCTTTTCTTGCCTGGCATGGTGGCTCACATTTGTAATCCCAGTACTTTGGAAGTCCGAGGCAGGTGGATCACCTGAGGTCAGGAGTTTGACCTCACCAACATGGTGAAACTCCGTCTCTACTAAAAAAATACAATAGCTGTGTGGTGGCGCACACCTGTAACCCCAGTTACCTGGGAGGCTGAGGCAAGAGAATCGCTTGAACCAGAGATACCGCTTGTACCAGGCAGAGGTTGCGGTGAGCTGAGATCTCACCATTGCACTCCAGCCTGGGCAACAAGAGCAAAACTCCGTCTCAAAAAAAAAAAAAGATCTATGTTTTCCATCTACTCACAGCCTTGCTGGGCTAAGTAACTGGTTGGCTGAAAGACTGAAATGTTCCACTTGCTTCTCAAGGCCAAGCTGTTTCTAACATGCAAGTTGTGCTGTTACATTATAAAATGGGCCTCTCATTACCTGCAGTCTTTGTCACTAATCCAAATTTATTAATGAAATAACCACATTTTCTATCCTAGATTATAATGATACATAATTATTTATAAAATCATAATTATTAAATTCCTCAACAAAAAAAAGGAAAAATTATTAAAACATTTAATCACCAAAAACACAAATCCACATTAGGAAATTATCTTTTAGGATACTTATACAAAACTTAACACAAAATTATTGACACTGATAAGCAATGTGCATGTTGCTACTCTTTCTCTTTCACTAATTTTTCTATCCTTGGAATTAAAGATGTGACTGCAAGTCTTAGGGCAGGGCCAGAAACTGACAGATTTCTTTGTTTTGACTCAGTCAAAGCTGAAAAGGCAGCATCACATAAATAAACAGTTGAAAAGGGTAATAAAAATCTCATTGCCTTTTCATGGAGTTCTGGGTATCTTGCCTTTGCATTTATCCAAAATTGAGTTACAGACACTGATTTAAATACTGATTGCAATCCTAAATCTGAAGATAGCTGTGTTAGCTTTTCTTCTTCGAAGTCGGTGAGATTATTATTTTGGTGATTCATAAAAGGGTTAATTATCCACAAATTTCCTGAACGTAAGTCTTGTTCTGGTGGAAAACAGTCACTGAAGACTTGAGAAAGTCCTTCCAGGTGCTCAAAAATAATCCTTGTGATCTCTGTCATATTTAAGTCTGATGAATTTGAGAATTCAGAAAATGAAGGGAACATGTCATAATCATTCTCTTGTGTGCACTTCAACCACATTTTTAACTTTCTCTTAAATACGTCAATTTTATTACACAAATTGAAGAAAGTAGTCAAAGTTCCTTGGAGACTTAAATTTAATTCATTTATAAGTGAAAATATATCTGATAAGTAGGCCAGCTTTGCAACCCATTCCTCATCATGAAAATACTTGGCCAAATCTGAATGCTTTTGACTTAAGAATATTTCAATCTCATGTCGTAATTCAAATAATCTTTTTAACATTCTCCCTCTTGATATCCAGCGTACTTCAGCATGAAGCGGTAAACTCACGTGCTCAGACCCCATCTCTTCACATAAAATTGTTAACATACGTGAATTTAATGCATTGCTCTTTACAAAACTTAAAATTTGTGCTGACTGCAAAAGAATTTTATGTAAACATGGAGACAACTTTTCTGCGGCTAAATGTTCACGGTGAATAAAACAATGTGTAAATGCCGCTGTATTCATGGCAACTTCTTGAATTTTTGCTTTTAAACCAGAATACCTGCCAGTCATGCTTGCAGCCCCATCGGTGCAGATACCAACACAATGTTTCCAATTCAGAGATTTACTATCAATATATTTATTTATTAGTTCAAATATTTCACAACCAGTTATTTGAATAGGCATTTCAATGCAAAATAATAATTCTTCTTTTACATCATGACAATCATAATCAATGAAACGAATATAGCACAAAAGAAGTGTGATATTTGAGATATCTGATGACTCATCTATCTGAAGGGCAAACCACTTTGACTCTCTGACCTTCTGAATCAGCTGGTCTTCAATATCTGCGGATAGTTCATCAATCCTGTGTTGAATTGTAATATTAGAAAGTGGAATTGTTTTCATTTTGTCTCCAGCACTTGAACCCAAAACTTCTGAACACATTTCTACTAAATACGGTTTAATTAATTCTTCAGCAATGGAGAATGGCTTCTTGCTTGCAGCAGTTTGGAAAGCAATTAAGTAAGAAGCTTTCACAAGTGACTTTTCAACTAGTAAATACTTTTTTAAAGAACTATTTCGACACTCCATTTCTAGAGATTTTTGTTCAAAAAAATCTACTGGTTTGTTTTCTAATTCTGAATGTTTTGTCTTCAAATGATGAGAAAGATTTGCTGGCTTCATGTTTTCACTGGGTAAGATCTCTCCACAAATGACACACTGTGGCCTTGGTGAACTTTCTTTTGATCCAGGACAGATAATAAAACCAACTTTTAAATATTCTGTATCATATGTCTGGAAAAAACCTAATCTTTTTTTCTTTGAAGGTGGAGAATCAAGTTCTGCATCATTTTTTTCATTAGGCATAGGTAAATCTGAATGAAATATTTGAATCACTGTTATTTTCAAGAACAAATAAGCAATGTTCTTTATCTCCTCACACACTTAAAATTCATATTTTGTTACTATTTCTATTTATCAAAAGAATGTGTTGATACACGTTTAAGTACAAACCATAATACTTCCAATGATGCCACTGAAAACTGAATTTCTCCTTTGCCCAAAGCTTGATCACTGGGTGAAGTAAAACTATAGGATGTGGTACATGTACAAGTAGTCCCAAGCACCCAATAGGTTATTGAAACTAGGAGTGAAGACCACAGTACACATCAAATTAAGAATAAACCTTTTAGCTGAGCAGGGTGGCTCACATCTATGATCCCAGCACTTTGGGACACCAAGGTGGGTAGATCACTTGAGCCCAGGAGTTACAGACCAGCCTGGGCAACATGGTGAAACTCCATTTCTACAAAAGAAAAACAAAAATTGGCCAGGTGCAGCGGCACACAACTGTAGTCCCAGCTACTTGGGTAGCTAAGGCAGGAGAATCGCCTGAGGCCCTGGAGGTCGAGGCCACAGGTAGCCATGATCATGCCACTGCACTCAAGACTGTCTCAAAAATAAATAAATAAATAAATAAATTTTGTTATTGGTTAGTGATACTAGTGCCAAAATTTTTTTTAAAGAAAATGAAAAAAGAGGCCAGGCACGGTGGCTGATACCTGTAATCCCAACTCTTTGGGAGGCCAAGGCGGGCAGATAACCTGAGATCAGGAGTTCAAGACCAGCCTGGACAACATAGTGAAACCCCATCTCTACTAAAAATACAAAATTAGCCAGGCATGGTGGTACATGCCTGTAATATCCCAGCTACTTCAGAGGCTGAGGCAGGAGAATCGCTTGAACCTGGGAGGCAGAGGTTGCAATGAGCCGAGATCATGTCATTGCACTCCGGCCCGGGAGACAATAGTGAAACTCTGTCTCGAGAA